GCAAGAAATTTGTTGTTGTGTGGTTTTAAACTATTTCATGCCAAGCCCTTCGACCAGTGTGTAGGGAGTCGATATTCAGTAAATATGTGTTGAGTAAGTGAAGCGTAATTAGAGTACCTAAGTTTGCGAATTATTGACTTTGTTTAATGACAACCCAAAGTGTCCCTGTAATTACGTCACTGTCACCAACTTGCATTTTAAAATGCTTCCTTAAGTAGGATTACAGCTGGGAACTGGCCCTCGCTTATTCCAGCCTGACAGTGTCATGCACATGAGTATCGTCCATCATATGCATGGCAGTAGAAGGAAAATTTGAGAGCAGTTGATCTAAAACACAATCTCCAGGCCCGTTGTGCAGGTAAGTTTTTCTTCTGGAAGCATTAAGTGACAAGGCAGGAGCATGGCCGCAAGAAGCTGTCCCCTGACCTTCTCTGAGGAGTTGGGAAGATGTTGCCTCCCACATGCAGTGAGGAATTCACCCTGCCACCACCTTGCCTGCATCAGAGCAAAGATGTGGACATCAGTTTGATGGCGATGTCCTCTCGGCACGGCTCCAACTGTGACCCCTGACTGCGCTGTAGACACACACAGAAGTTTTTAAGAAACAGCCACACCCCTAGAGATTCTGATTTAATTGTTTTGGGTGAGCCAAAGCATTAGCACTTCTTAAAAGCTCCCCTGGCGATTTTAATGTGCAGCCAGGGGGCCAGCGTCTGGTCTATAATCCCCGGGTGTTAGCGCCAGGGTAACACAGAACAGAGGCACATTCTGGGCAGAGCCAAGTACGAGGCACTTGGGGTGAGACCCGGGAACCACAGCTGGTCTCAGCCTCCTTGAAGACCTCACGGCCCTGCGGAGGGCTTCACACCTGTATGCTCATATCCCAGTTAGAACACTGGGAACACTTCGGGGTTCGACAGTCTAGAGGTGTGGAAAACTTACAAAGATTCAAGAAAAGAATGGATGGAAATATCTGCAGCGTTTGGAACATGAAATATATGAGGCAAAAGTCAAAAATTAGGTTTAGCTAGCTTGGAGAAGTAGAGTTGGTAGGAAAGTTAGTAGAAACAGAGTTAACTTTTTGATCATTTTTAAGTGATTACATATATACTTACACGAAGAAAGATCTAGTGTACAAAAACGTGTGAAATAGACACAAGAGAGGTTATTTATGCCTGTATTATATACACAAATACACACAGATTGGTTACAGGCTGATATTTACACAGTATTTACCATGGGCTGGGTACCATTCTAAACTCTACGTACAGCTGCGTGTATATTCACTCATTTAGCTCTTTGGATAACCCGATGAAATAGATACAGATATTATTCTTATTTTAGGAGGAAGAATCTGAGGCACTCAAAGGTTAAGTAACTTGCTCTTGTTACCATATGGATCTGGAACTTAAATCTAACTGGACTGGTTGCAGTGTCATATACATATACATACGTGTATATACACGTATATATACATAGATATATGTTATATACGCTGTGAGTTTATGCATGTATATATCCATCTTTCTAGATACATACTATATAGCTAGCTATGTAGTACTATGGGTGAGTATACCCACCCATCCACAGACATACAGATGCACATATGTGTGTAGGTAATGTCTTAAAGAACACACATACACATTTTGCTTTACAAAAAGATGCAGTTTGCTTTCAACAATAAGCAATACTTATTTACACAATAACTTTTAACATTGGGATTCACAAACAAGTAAGCAAGAATTTTGAAGAGAAAAACACTTCCGCGATCATGTGATAACCCATTACAAATCCCTTGTTGGGAAAGGTTTTTGAGACAGATTAACTGGAAGGCACGAGTAGTTCAATGGAAAGTCTTGTATATTTGTTCTGAGTCATTTTAGCATGTGATGGATAAATATGGTGAAAAATGTGTTCTTTCAGGATTTTCCTGAGGGAAAACATAAAAGCCTGGCTTTTAAATATTAAGGCCCTGAAATTCGGTGACTCAATGACTTATTGTTCTCTAACTGGCTAATTGGCAGGGGGGCAGGGGGTTGGTATTGGGGAGGATGGCATGTTCTTGAGGAGACTGCACATCAACAGGGCCATTAAAAAGCTTGAGTTTGGGTTTGTTTTTGCTTTCCCTGTTGTTATTTTAGTAAATTAGGCAAGGTGCTTAAAGGATTGCCCAGGGAAGGAGTTGAAATGCCAGTTTTACAAATACCATCTAAAATTTTCTTGGAAATAGGTCTGGGTTTAATGCGATGATCTTTTTTTTTTTTTTTTGGTTAATGTTTATTTATGTTTGAGAGGGAGAGAGAGACAGAGTGCTAGTGCAGGAGAGGCAGAGAGAGAGAGGAAGACACAGAATCCAAAGCAGGCTCCAGGCTCTGAGCTGTCAGCACAGAGCCCGACACGGGGCTCGAGCCCATGAACCGGGAGATCATGACCTGAGCTGAAGTTGGACGCTTGACTGACTGAGCCATCCAGGCGCCCCATGCAATGATCTTTTAAACGACGAATATGCACGTGGTTCTAAAAATTAAAATATTCTTTTATTTTCTATTGGTTTACTTGAGAGACAATTTAGAAACCTTCCTATGTGGGATTGAAATTCTTTAATTTCCTAAATATTTGTGATTTGATCATTATAATGCAAACTCAGCTGAAAGGTTAATTCAAAATGAACTCACAACATAATCATTTGGTCAATTTAATTAAGTAGTACTGAGTGTAAAGAGTGTGCAGCGATAATGAACAAACATAAGCTGAGGGTGAAGGGTCAAAGTCTCCGAAGGTCGAGGATGATGAATAAGTAAGGAGGGTGATACCAGTTACACTGGCCCTCCTTGTTCCATTGTGCTGAAGTCGTTGATAGTTAATGAAATATTTGAGTATCAAAGACAAGAGACAAAGGTGCTTTATGGAATACTGGTGACCAAAGTCTTCTTGTGAAAGGGCAGCTGCTCAACTTGGTTGATTGATGCCCATTAAGGGCCAAATTAGCCTATTTTTAAAACACAGAAGCCCTGCAGAGCCATCCTTTCCCTAGTTTCATATTCCCCTTTGTCTAGTAGGATGTGTGCTGTGAATGTAAATGGACTCTTCAGACGTAGTTACAAAGTGACTCGTGGAGCATCCATAAACATTTCTGTCTTGTCAGCCGGATTTCCTCGGGGGGCTGGGTCTGCCACCTCCCCTGCCCTGCCCTGCCCTATCCGGTCTCCCCTACAGTTAGGGATCTCTGGGGGACAGGGAGCGTTTTCCCCTGCAGCTTGCACCCTGCCCATTCTTAGCCAAGCTTTCTGCTCCAAACCTTTCCTTGTGTCCTGACTCTGGTGGTGAGTGGAGCTACAACTCTAGGATCTCCACTTGGATCTTTCTCGAAAAAGACCAAAAGCGGGTAGCAGGGCCACTGCCTATCCCATGCCCCTCCTCCTGGCACTGCCCAGCTCTTGTCATCAGAGGCGACCTTCCACACAGGAGGTACCATTAGATCATATCAGCCCCAGGAGAGAAAAACCATCAAGCACTAGAAGAAAAAGGATGGCAAGAGTCTCAAAGAACTTATTTTAATCGTCTTCACTTTTCCAGAGCTACCAACAATACCTGGCAGTCACGGGTGTTCAATAAATACTGGTTGTACTGAACTTAGACTCCTTTTCTTCCTCCTCCCAACGTCACCTTCAGGATCAGCAGCCCTATTGGGGGTTTCTTATGAAATTACCATAAAATCTTTTACTTATAATGCCTCGCATGTGAATTGTCCCAGGTCAACAAAATTTCCAAAATTCAGATGCCTTAATTAAAAAAAAAAAACTTTTTAAGAGATAAGGTATGGTATATAATTTGGAATATAAGGCATAATAATAAAGAAATGAGTTTTAAAACTCTGTAAGTGTTAAAAACTGGCAATTACCAAAATGCCCTTTAATAGTGGAATGGATAAATAAACTGTAGTATAGCCACACACTGGAATACTATATAGCAACAAAAATAAACAGTCTACAGCTACACAGAAAAATATGAATGAATGTCACAAATATAATATTCAGAGAATTAAGCCACATACAAAAGAATACAGTGTAGGAATTCATCTATATAAAGCACAAAGCAGACTAAATGATCTATGCTATTAGAAGTCATGATAGTGGTTGCCTCCTAGGCAGAGGTTCTCAACCAGGAGTGATTTGGTCCTCAGGGCATATTTGGCCATATCCGGAGAGATAGTTTTCGTTATCACACCGGAGATGGGAGTTGCTACTGGTGGGTAGAGGGTAGAGGGTAGAGGCCAAGGATACGGCTCAGGATCCTGGAATACATAGGACAGCCTCTCCCACCCCCAGCAAAGAACTCTTCGGCCCAAAACATTAATAGTGTTGGGGTTGAGAAGCCCTATCTTAAGAGGAGTCATGGCTGAAAACATACAGAGGAAAGCTTCTGGGGTCTGGTAATATTCTGTTTCTTATCTGCTTGCTGATTACACAAGTGTGCTCCATTGGAAAATTCATCAAGCTATACACATGGCATGTGTACTTTTCTAGATATACATTATCTGTCAACAACATGTTTTTATTTTATTTTTTTTCCACGTTTTTTATTTTATTTTTGGGACAGAGAGAGACAGAGCATGAACGGGGGAGGGGCAGAGAGAGAGGGAGACACAGAACCGGAAACAGGCTCCAGGCTCTGAGCCATCAGCCCAGAGCCCGACGCGGGGCTCCAACTCCCGGACCGCGAGATCGTGACCTGGCTGAAGTCGGACGCTTAACCGACTGCGCCACCCAGGCGCCCCAACAACATGTTTTTAAAATGCTAAAAAGCTACCTATGCTTTAGTAAACCTTTGTTTAATAAAAAATATACCCTAGGATTCAAACAAAGAATATGCTAAGCAGCTCTCAGCTTACATTAACCAAAATCATCTAGACTTAGTAGAAAACATAAAAAAACAAGTAACATGTTATAGAAAACCCTAAATGTTTAATGATAAGACACAATTTAAATCTTTCACTCATCGAATCTTGCACTGAATATTAGAATTTAGGATGCACTTTAAAATGGCAATGACAATTTCATAAAAAAGAATCATGCACTAATAAAAAATGCATGAATGTTTTATTTACCAGAAAATCCTGCTTGATCTGTAGGTGGGAATCTGGCCAAGTCACTTAGAATCAGAATTTGTTGTGTCAGCATCTGCAGAGACCAAAGAAGACATTATCTACTTTAAAATGCCTCAGTGCTTTCCACAGCCTCTTGTTGGGACCTCTCTTCAGCCCGCACATCTGCAGCGTCTCCTGCGCTGGGGTTGTTGGTTCGCAAACCAGACCCATACATGGAGGCCAAGCAGAGACCCAAGGAAAGGGTAGGCCACTCCAGATTGGCAGATGGCAGGTTTAACAAGCAAGGGAACTTACTTGCCAGGCTTGTCTTGGGTGGCCATGAGACGAGTAGACCCATACCTACTGCCAGAATCTTAAAAAGTTTACATAAATTCCTGGACAGGGTTCAGTCATGTATAACGACCTTCCAGAGGGCCTCAACACCACCTACCTCACTATCTCGAGTCTGTGCCCTTGAAAATGGCTCCAGTTGTAGGAAAGGTGGGCAGAAGTTACATTCCAAGGACAGGAGAGGGGTTGGGGAATCTCTCATTACCCACTAGCAGCTTGTGGGTCAACTTGGGATCACATCCTCTTGATGACCTTCCCAACAGTAATGAGGTCCTTTGGCCCAGGAAATTTACAAGATTTTCACTGAATGAATTGTTCTCAACAGAGTGTTCTGAATGAGAAAGTCTACTGTGGTCATCCTGTCCTCACCTCCCATTTGTATGTTGTATGTGTTGAGGGCAAATAACTTCTCTTCTTAGTTCCCAGGCCTCCAATCAAGCCTCATGTGGAAGGAGGTAGGTCCCAAAACCATGGACTCCAATCCAGATGGAAAGAGATCTTGGAAGGCGGTAAGTCTATTTTGCATGTAGAGGAAACAGGAATAATTATGGCCAGAACATAAGGCTGTGAAAGATCATTTACAAAAATGACCATAGTTACTTTCTTCCCTCAATCTAGACCTCCATGAACCATGACTTTGCAGTTCTTTCCCTGGGGAGATGGAGTCCATTTCACCCCTGCTTGAAATCTGGACTGGACTTGGGGCTTGTTTTGATTAAAAGAGTGTAGGGAAAGTGAGGCCATTCCAGTTTGGAGCCTAATGCTCAAGAAGTCTCGCCCACTTCTGCTCACAAGAGCCATGCTCCTGCCTCGTGAATAAGCCTGGGGTGGTCAGCTGGATAATTAGAGACCACATGGAGTAGAGACAAGCCATTCCAGATGAGGTCATCTTAGACCAGCCAGGCCCAGCTAATCAAGGGGATGCCCACAGATATGCAAGTGAGTCCATCGAAGACCAGAAAATTAACTCAGCTGAGCCCAGTTCATACTGGCAGCCCACAAAATCATGAACCAAATAATTTAGAGTGATTTCTTGTATACCTTTGTCCTCAGAAAGATGACTGTAAGCAGCTCTGGCATTTATTCTATTCACGTCCAGTCCAGTTTTATGAATAGCCCCTCTTTCTCAATAGTTGGCCTAGCTCACATAGCGTAACACGGTGGCCAGGGAGTTGGATGCTTGGTGGCCATATCTTGGTCCTTTTCAGAAACTGGGGTGATGGAATAGACTGTGAGATAGTGATGCTTCCCAAAAGGCAAAAATGCACAACGCACAGGTTGCACCCTATCTCATTGCCTCTAATGTGAGAATTTAGCTGCTACGATGTTTCCAACTGGTTGGTCACTCATTGCTTTGTAGATTCTGTCCTCACCACGGACACCAGAGAAATTCATTTATTCGTTATTCTACTTGCATGATTTGAAACATGAAGGATCACGAGGAAAAAAAGTCAATCAAAACAAGTTTTGTCTTTTGAATGCTTCAGTGTTTGGATTTCTGGATGACTTATCTTCTACCATATTTTATCCTTGAAGTATATCAGAGATCTTTTCTCCTGAGAGTGAAGGAAGGAAGTGTTGGCCAATTTTACACTGTGACATGTTACAGAATGACACTCCTTATAGCAAATGCTCCCGTTTGTATGGAAAGTAGAATTAGAAGCACAAAATGAAGAAAGAGATGTTAATGCTTGAATAATAAGTACAGAGCATTGGCAGATAATGGACAAAAGAACACTATTTCCTTTAATCTTACTTAATAAGCTTTGTCTTCTAGCCTTTTGATTTTTTTCTGGCTGACTGCGGATGCGCTTGACTTGAATTTATTTACTTTCAAAAATAATGAACACTAAGAGGTGGACATGGTGCGCGAGTGGGAAACGCAGTGGAAAGCACTGACAGAGCTTACTAATCCTTCAGGAGATGAAGAGTGTGTGGGTTCCCTCTGTTGAAACATTGGTTTTGTGATGGGTAATTCACCAAATCATCCTGGTACGTAAACCACTCAGGAATCAAGAAATGAATTCTAATACATTCATAGGATGGAATGATCTGCAGCTGTTGAATAGTGACAAGGGGAGTGTACATAACATTTTGCCAAGTGAAAGAAATTTCTAGCAGTATATTATATTATCATTTTCATTACACACACACACACACACACACACACACACACACACACACACATATATATACACACATATACACACACACATATATTATATATATATTACCGGTGCGTCTCCAAAGACAGATCATTTGAGTGCATTTCTCCCTTTAATGTTTCTTTCTGTTTCACAGGCTTCCAGTGTTAGAATATATATTTTTTTTTTTCTGTGTCTCCTTCTCTCTGCCCCTCCCCCACTTGTGCTCTGTCTTTCTCTTTCAAAAAAAAAAAGAAAAGAAAAGAAAGGGGAGCCTGGGTGGCTTGGTTGGTTAAGCATCCGGCTTTGGCTCAGGTCATGATCTCACAGTTTGTGGGTTTTAGCCCCGCATCGGGCTCTGTGCTGACAGCTCGGAGCCTGGAGCCTGCTTCAGATTCTGTGTCTTCTTCTCTCTGCCCCTCCCCACTTGTGCTCTGTCTCTCTGTCTTTCAAAGAAAAAAAAGAATATATATATATATATATATATATATATATATATATATATATATATATATACACGACCAGTGGGATCTCCAAAGACAGATCATTTGAGTGCATTCCTCCCTCTAATATTTCTTTATGTTTTACAGGCTCCCAGTGTTAGAATGTATTACATTCATAATTATAAAATATAAAAATGTAAATGTATCAATTAACTATATTGATAGTCATGCTGACAAAATATTTGCAGCCAGAAAAAAACTGATTCCCTCCCTCCTCAAGGTGTGTCCCTCTCGTATGAATTTTGAAATCAGTATTGTAGTCCGATGGGGATATTCTTTTGAGGGCTGCTGGGTCTAAGCTAAACTACATAATTCCTGACATCTACAGAGGACACGCTCTATGTCAGACCCTGTTCTGAGTATTTCATGAGCTTACGCTCATGGGATAGTCACAATATCCTATGAGGTGGTGACTACTGTTATCATTTTACACATGAGAACACGGAAGCGTGGAGATTTGAAGCTCAGACTCCAGGGTTCTTGCTCTTGACAAGTATTCTACAGTTCTCTCCTGTCTTGTGAGACAGGCCTTTCCAAGTATCACTCATCTGAAAAGGAAGGACCTCTTAGAGAAGAACGTAGAACTGTGAACGCAGAGCTGAGGTAGCCACAGAAGGTCCTGATGTTCTTCTCTTTGTCTCTTCGTGGAGGAATTCACCTTGAGTTTTCAGGACAGCATCTACCATGTAGAAGCTGAGGAGGATGTAGGGAAGAAGAGACTCCGGCACCCTATTTGCCTTATGTGGGTCCCCTTTGTAAGGCTTGGGATACAATTCAGGTAACCAAACTGATATCTCAGGACATGGTGTCCATAAGATATTGGTTGTGTGCTAAAATAAAATGTTCTGTACTTGAGAATCGCTGCACTAGGAAAAGTTAGAGGTCTGTTGCAGGACTGCTCAGAGCCTTTATTATGCCCATGTACCTTTTAGTATCCATGAGTTAGATACAGTGTGCACCATTGCCCAACTTCGTTCAACCACAAACATCTTCTCATGGAGCATCTTCTATTAGCACCCCCAAATTAGTGTTCTGTGGGGCAAAATTTGAGAAACACTAGTCTCAAATAATGGTACTCCTTTAAAAAAAAATTTAATGTTTATTTTTGAGAGAGAGAGACACACACACACACAGAGTGCAAGCAGGGAAGGGGCAGAGAGGAAGACACAGAATCTGAAGCAGGCTCCAGGCTCTGAGCTATCAGCAAAGAGCCTCATGCGGGGCTCGAACTCACGAACCGCGAGATCATGACCTGGTTTGGAGTTGGCCGCTCAACTGACTCAGCCACCTAAGCACCCCTCAAATAGTGGCATTCTTGATGTTATTTCCATTTTTCCTAGTCTTCAGTGATTTTTTTTTAACATCCCAACCTTATCTCAAGTGTTCTCTGGAGACACAAGGAAAAGATTTGTGTCCTTGTTTGGGTATGTTGATTAGAAGAATAGTAGTAATCCACTGAGGCCAACATGGTGGAAGGAAGGTGGGGGAAATAAATCTTGGTGCTGGAATAGGAACAGGGTCTGAAACTTCACCAAGTCCACCATGAGCTCTCTCTCCATCTACAGTAAACTGTGGGAGGTTGTTAATGAAGCAACGTTTCCTTCTAGTAATGTTAGTTGAGCTTGGCCTGTTGAACTGCAGAACTTGCTATATGATACACATGGTTACCAGAGGAGCATATGGAGGAGCTCATCACCAGTGACCTGATTCAAAAGGCACGATGGGGTGGGAATGATGCTACATTCTCGTTTTTTAGATGGCAAAGGAATGAGAGATGTTTATATAACTCAAAAGGTCGTGTAGAAAGTCCTTTTCCAAGTTTGCCTCCTGCACACGCTCATCTTCAAAAATACTGTAGAGTATATATTTGGTTGAGTTGTAAGGTTGTACACGGAAAGAAGTTGAACATTCATGCTAGGAAGAGACTGCTGGTCAATTATTAGGAGCATTACTGCGCTTGGTAATACAACCAACTGATAAATATTTCAAAAACGTTTTTGTGCGTGCCTTGGAATTACAAGTATGTCTTATTTAAAGAATGGTGGAGAGGGAACAAGAATAATGAGGGAAGAGCATAGAAAATCACTAAAATAACTTGTTAGACGGTCTCTGACTTACAACCCACTTCATTCAGTTAGTAAGGCTAAGTTATCCGTTTGGCAGATGACCCACTTCCTCAATGACCTCAGCAAGATCAGCTGAGCCAGTCCAGTCCCAAAGAACCACCCGGCTACCCCAATGAATGATGAATTAGTAAGTGCTTATTGTTTGGGTTTTTAAAAATTTTTTTAAATGTTTATTTATTTTTGAGACAGAGAGAAACAGAGCATGAATGGGGGAGGGTCAGAGAGAGAATCTGAAGCAGTCTCCAGGCTCTGAGCTGCCAGCACAGAGCCCGACATGGGGCTCGAACTCACGGACCGTGAGATCATGACCTAAGCTGAAATCAGACGCTTAACTGACTGAGCCACCCAGGCGCCCCAAGTGCTTATTGTTTTAGGTTGCAAAATTTTGACGTGGTTTGTTACACAGCAACATCTAGCTGATGCAGTGTCCTTGGCATGGTGAAGATCTGGAGTCTTTCCCTTGATGACCTAACCCCACTTTGGCTCTTAACGTCATAACAGAACCTCTGAATTTCAGCCAAATCCCACATCAGGTCTCCGGCCTTGGCAAGCCACCTCCCATCCCCTGCAACGATATTGCCTACCCCCTCCTGACAGTGGCCCCTGCAGGCTTGCTGGCCCTCAATAATCGGTATCTTCCACTCCATACGGGGAGTATGCAGGCATTTGTGGATTTCTTCCATGCTGTATAACAGCTGAGGGAGTGTCGGGGTTCCATCTCCTATTCTTTCTCACCTTAAGTTGGACACAGTTCCACTCCTGCTTGGCAGCGGCTGCTCTGTGTTGCCAGATGGGAGCCACGTGGGGCTGTCTCCTTCCAGAGTCACAGATGAGCTACGGAAATAAAGGAGTACCATGCAAATAAGAAAGCCACCATTGCTTGCATTTGGTAGAGTCAAAAGCAGACAGGAGAGTAGGAAAGTTTTATAACAAAAGAGAAAAGGAAGGTGTTAAGTATGATCTGATTGGAGGCTGTCGGCAGAGGAAGTCTGGATGCAGTCTAACTAGAAGCGGGGCATCTTACACGATTGGTTTAGAAAGTATGTTTGGCTCTCTCTGTTTGATCCTGACTTGGGAGCTGGGGCAAAACAATTAACAAGTTGGCAATTATTAACAAAATGCTAATTGTTCTGGGCCAGATGCTGCAGAGGTTGTGTTTTTGCTTCCTGAACTGGTTGCTGCAGAAGTTGTGAGCCAGCATTCTATTGTCATACATGGTCTGGTCATTTTCCTTTGTATATTCAGTCTCTCAGTCTCCCTTTTGGTAATTCTCTCACTCCTGCGAGTGATGGGTTGGCCAATTCAGGGAAGGCTACAGATCCAGATCTTCGCTGTGGGGATGGTTCAGTTGTCTCCATGGTCAAGTGCATAACTGCAAGATCACCTTGAGCTTTTGGTTGTTGTGTTGTCACGGTGATTATCTGTCAAGAGAGTAGCTATGCAGTAGGATTTACTATTCTGGATAGGATGCCAGAGACCAACATCATGACCACTGACAAAAAACAAGAATAATTAATAGTCCCTGTAAGACACTTACAAGAACCAGGAATCCCAAATGCCCATCCCAGGCCCAGTAAATGAATCCCAGGGGCCATAAAGATCAACCTAAAAATGTCAAGTAGCTGTTTACCTAAGGCAATGTATTACCTGTTCTACTTTGCCTGTTTCTTTAGACTAAGTATTAGCAAAGACTAGCAATGGCACAGATACCACCAAGACCAGCCAGCAAAAAATCAAGGGTAATATAATTGTCCATCGTTACTTGTGCCAGTGAGTTGAGATTGGTCTGTACATCATCTAGGGTGGAGGTGGTATTGTTAATCATTTCTGCCAAAGTTAATAATTATTTATTTATTTACTTATTTAGAGAGCACATGCGTGAGCGAGTGAGCTAGGGAGGAGCAGAGGGAGAGGGAGAGAGAGAATCTTAAGCAGGCTCTACATTCAGCATGAAGCCTGATGCAGGGGCTCAGTCCCATGCCCCCTGGGATCATGACCTGAGCTGAAATGAAGAGTTGGACACTTAACTGACTGAGCCACCCAGGCTCCCCACTGATAAGTTTTTTTTTTTCTAGATTTTCTGCTTATAAGATTTCCCCATTGGAAACACTGCTGTGATTCTTCACATAAACAACTGGTTAGTAATTTCTCAGAATGCCTGGGTAATCAAGAATGGGCTTGTTTGGGAACTTGCATCTCAGTTGGAATTTGCTACGTTCATGATTTCTAGAATTAGGATCTCTGTATAGCGATGTCTTGGCATACTATTGCTAAAGTGCATGAAATATGAGTCAGAGGCAAACAAGACCAGGCATTCTGTCTGCAAAAGAAGTAGTATCCAGTAGGGGGCACATGGAGACCCAGGAAAAAAAGAGTCCCTGATGGTGGAAGAGGAGGTCTTCCATTAGCCCAGTTACAGTTTTCATCTCTATTAATGTCTTCCAGGTGGCAAGTAATTGGCCCATCACCCCATGAAGGTGGTTGAATTCCAATGTCTTATAATAATTGGTTCTTTTTCTGAGAGAAGGGCACCACCAAATTCATGCGTTGATTTAATTAAGGTCATTTGTCTATTTCGATGCAAATGCCATTCCTTATGGTCTTGCTTATTAAGACTGAAATCCCCCCGAGATTTTTTATCATGATGATCTGGTGATGGATGCCATATACAGCAATCAGCGAGACTCAAGGCAGTGGTTACTCTTTGGGATAATCCAAGAATGGCATTAGGATGCGTATGTTATGACCTAACAGTTATAATAAAGACCAAAAGGGCCATTATGGGTGGACAATAACCAAGGGTCTATAGGAAATGAGCAGAATGGTTATAAGCGAGCAGATGAGCAAGCTAATTCCAAAACAGGAATTAGCCAGGAGCCTCGTCCTATGTCTCAGGCAGTGGCTGTCCACTATCCTAAGTTATTTGCATATTCCACAGACCTTGGGTCAGCTACCTACTTTCAAAAGTTGGCTGCTACTAGAGGATATCTGAGGATTTGAAATTTGAGGTCCTTTAATGTAGTAGACTGCCAACTGTGTGGAATTCTGAATGCTTCTTTAATTATGAAACATGGACCCAAGGATAGACTCCCTGGAGTTTCACTGCTATATTTGTTGCTAACAGTATGTGGTAGGGTCCATTCCAACGAAGTTCAAGAGTAGTTTTTCTTTGATGTCTCTTCTAATAGGTGAAATTTTCTGGTTTAAGATTGATAGGAGGCTGAAGCTGTTTAGGAAGATGTTGTGAGAGGGCAGTCTTAACCTGTTGATGATGGGACTGAGTACATGAGTCCTTTGCAATGTTTTACCAACTCTGCAAGAAACAGGGTAGAATATCAGAAATGAAATTCCTAAATGTGTGGGTCTTGCAGTTATGAGATCATAGGGGGATAATGACGTGTGCCTGAGGGAGTGGACTGAATGGCCACAATCTCCTACAGCTCATCTTTTCTTTGTGTGTATGATTGAATTACGGTCTAATAAAATTCTGCTGGAAATGTTTTGGGTATGTCTTTTAGCAGACTTTTCTCCAATTTGGGGGGCCCTTTTGTACCCTCAGGGTTATTACAAAAGAGTGACTTGGTAGACCCCTTTCTGTGTTTGTTTGATCAGTTTTTTGCCATCCAGGATTTAGCATCTGATGTTTTGATCAACACGTGTACAAGTTGATATAGTTCAGGTAACCTTGGGACATATGCACCCAAAAGAAAGGTAAATTCTATCAATAGTAGCTGGCCTTCTCTGGGTTAGGGAAATTCTGAATTCTAACTGTAAATTCAGCTTGGGTCCAAGGCATACCTGACTCATGGCAGGAATGAATTTTTAGAAGCAACCAGCATTTAGGGGTCTTAGGAAAGTCAGTAGGAAAAGATAGGGGATCTGGACAAGGGAAAGAAGAGAAAGAAGTTATCAGAAGTGTGGAAGGAGAGAGATCAGAAGGAAAAGAGGGATGAAGGAGAGCTGTATATAAAGAGGGAACTGGAGGACAAAGAGGGAGAATTTACTCAGGTAATGAGTCTAATTTGTCATTGCTTAGGATTGTCAGGCTTCTCATTGGCTTCGGCCAAAGAACCTTATGGTGAAGCAATTTTTTTCAATCAGAATTTCATTTGGAGGCCTCTGCATACCAATAAAAATTCTGCCTATTAAATCTGAGAAGTCTTGGATCCTTTGTTTTCTAAGGCACCTCCCAGATGAACAATTTTATTCAAGCCAAGTGTTCCCAGGGTGGCTACTGAAGCTCCAAATCATCGCTGGTGAAGAAGTGCCATATTTTGAGAATTAGGATTATAAGAAGAGTTCAGGTAGAAAGGAGGAGTTTCTCCTGGAGGAGGAGGAGTAAAGGATTTAGACCGAGATGAGATGGTCCCTTGGGAGCAGGCAACCCACTGTAAAGTGATGCTTGTGCACTTTGTAGCTTGGCCCCCAGCCTGATGGTTTGGCTGCCTCTGAACACAGACTTGACCATCAGCACCTCCAGGCAGGTGGAAAACCGAAGAGAACATTCAGCAAAGAGAACATTTTCTCTGGATCAAAGCCAAGCTTTCAGAACAAAAAGAACAAAAAATGTGATGGAAGGAAAATCTCACCCCGTCTTACAGGTAACGTGGCAAAATTTGCCCCAATGGGCTTTGCTTTGCTGGGAACCACAAACTCAGGCTCAAAGGGACCTATGCTTGTTTCCTATTCTGTGATTCTCCTTCATATGGCAAACACTTTTGAGAGCACATCACACAAAACAGAAGCGCAAAAGAGCAAAGGGTTAAAAAAAAAAAAAAAAAGCCTGATTACATTAAGGATGCCAAGCCAATAGGTACCAAGAACAAAACCCAGGTACCGAACTGAGAATAAATAGTGGAGGAATTTCATGTCCAGAGAGCAGAGCTCGGGACCAGGGCTGGTTCGCAAATGTTTGGTGAGAACCTGACAAGCCACAGTGGCGAGGCACAGGGGGCCTCTGTGGGCACCTCGCCTGGTAAAGGCTGGGGTCCGTGGCAGTGGGCAATGCAGTTTGTCTCAGTAGAACCTTTAGGAAAACCAGAAATAAATGAAGACCACCCAAATGAAAATAAACAGAAGCGTTTTGTTCAGCACTTGTGTTTGGCAGAGGCTCAAAGGCAGGCAGGGGAATAGAAAGCTTTATAATGAAAAAGAGGAAAGGCTTCCAGCAACCTCCCTGGCTGTAGGCTGGGGCACGAGGAAGCCGGAAGCAGGCTACCTAAAAGCAGGGCAGTCCTACGTGATTTTGGAGCGCATTTGGCTTTCTCGGTTGGCCCTAAGTTGGAAGCAAGGGCCAAAAAATAAGGAAGCCGGTAGCCAGTGACCAAGTCCTGATCATTGAGGGCTGATTGCCGCAGAGGCTGTGGTTTGGCTTCCTGCCTGGTTGCTGGAGAGGTCATGGGTCAGAGTCCTGTTGTCATCTATGGTCTGGCTATTGTCCATTGGTACACTCAGTCTCTCAGGGGCTCCACTCCGCTGCCCCAAATGCTATGTGATTCTCATCTTCTCACCACCTTCCCTCACTTGCTATTCTCAGCGCCCTGCGGACCAAGAAAGATCCACAAGATTCAGTCCTGCACCTTTGGGAGAACCAGCATTATTATTATTTTTTTTTTTAATTTTTTTTCCCAACGTTTATTTATTTTTGGGACAGAGAGAGACAGAGCATGAACGGGGGAGGGGCAGAGAGAGAGGGAGACACAGAATCGGAAACAGGCTCCAGGCTCTGAGCGGTCAGCACAGAGCCCGACGCGGGCTCGAATTCACGGACCGTGAGATCATGACCTGAGCCGAAGTCGGACGCTTAACCGACTGCACCACCCAGGCGCCCCAGGTGCCATGTTTAAAAAATTTTTTTTTTCAACGTTTATTTATTTTTGGGACAGAGAGAGACAGAGCATGAACGGGGGAGGGGCAGAGAGAGAGGGAGACACAGAATCAGAAACAGGGTCCAGGCTCTGAGCCATCAGCCCAGAGCCTGACGCGGGGCTCGAACCCACGGAAGGTGAGATCGTGACCTGGCTGAAGTCGGACGCTTAACCGATTGCGCCACCCAGGCGCCCCAAACCAGCATTATTTTTTACCTACCACACTCATTCCAAATGATTCCCTTGCTCTTCTGGTAGAGAGATTTCTTCTTTTTCCTCCTCCTCCTTGTCTTTCTCCTCCTCCTCCTCCTCCTCGTCCTTCTAATTCTCCTCTTCCTTCTCCTCCTTATTTTTCTTCCTCGTCTTTTACCCCTTTTTCTTCTCCTCCTTTTCCTTCTTCTCCTTTCCTTTTCTACAGAACAGAATCTTCCTCCACATTATATCCCCTTTCTTTCCAGATCTTTCTTGTCTCCTGGAGTCATAAGCCTCTTGGCTCTGCCTTAAAGGTAGTGATGATCATAGTGGAGGAGGGAATTACTGAGAGGAGAAATATCCTCAATGAACCGTCAACACTGCAGCCAGCATGGAAATGCTTCATCTCTGGAAAGAATTTCAAAACACATGAAAATTCAGGTCACCTGACTAAAAAAAAAAAAAAAAAATCAATGTGAATATTCAGCATGCGCAAAAGCTTCTGCACATCTTTGAATTGTAAATGTTGGTGGATGAGCATTTTCTCTGGCATCTTCATTCGTGTAATAAATATTTATCCAGCACTTCCTATGTGCTAGGCTCAGTGAGCAAAGCAAAAATCTCTGCCCTCATGCAGCTTATGCCCTAGTGGGGAAGACAGACAATAAGTAGTAAACAGAATAAGAAAGTTCATAGTGTGTTAAAGGGTGACAGGTGCTATGGAATAAAGAAAATGCAGAGCAGGGCAGCGAGTGAGAGGGGACAGATTCACCTGCCTGGGGATGCATGACTGCCACTGCAATGGCAACTTTATTGCTAAAGCCTCCGTGAATAAGATCATGGCAATTAAACCATCCCTCAGGCTTTGAGGATTGTTCCGAAGGGGATGCACACTCACACACAGGGCACTGGCTAAGTTTCCGGGCATTATTGCTAATGTTATTAGTCCCCAGCACAACCGCAGGCTGAGTCAGCTGCTTCAGACCTCAACTGGTTCAGGGTTCAGAGAAGCATCCTATCTGATTTGGCTGTAGAGGTTAACAACCAACCCTGGGCTTTATCGTGGGGACCTAATTTATAGTAAGAAAATTCTAAGAGAAGACAGTCGCAAATGAAGGCTCTGTAAGTTGGTAATCATCTATACTCCCGTGAAATAACATTTTTTATCAGTATCTCTTAGCATCAGCAGGATTCCTTATTGGATACTATAATCAGTGAATGACAAGATTCTATAATTACTTCTATACTGTCCTTCCAAGATAGAATCAACTTTACTAAAGAAGGCAATAAAGCTTTTTAGAAGCCATTATTTAGTAGGGAATGAATAGCTGTATAAAAAATATTCATTGTTCCATTGTTTCGTCTAGTATGATCTATTTCATCAACGCAAGATACACATACGGTCACATGTCTTTTGTTTTTCCAATTAATCACTGCTGAAGAGCAGAGTCCAGGATGCCCATTTTGAAGCCTCCCGTTTCTCCTTGGATTGTCCAAAAACATGAGTGCTCACTTAGTGAACACTAAACTCCATCCTGTTTCCTCATACGGCATGCAGACTGGATGTATGTTGTGGTCCTCTGCTCTCCTACCGTGCTGGGTGGAGCTCTGAGGACTGGTCCCATGCGGCGGCTTGGTTTGTCAAAGTTGGTGTGAACGCATACGTTTTCATTTCTCCAGGACAAAGGCCCAAGGTGAGATCGTTGGGTTGTGTGGTAGGTTCGGTTTTTGTCGGAAAAGCAATAGCCACACTGTTTTCCAGAGCGGTTGCACCTTTGTACATGCCTACCAGCAATGTGTGAAGTGTCACAGTTTCTCTGTCTCCTTGCCGGGATTTGGTGTCGTCACAGTTTTGTTATCCTACCCATTCTGAGAGTATGTAGTGATACCTCATGGTAGTTCTCACTTCCATTTCCCTTGGCTAATGATGTTGAGCATCTTTTCGTGAAATATCTCTTCATGTCATTCGCCCATTTTCTAATTGGACTGTTTGGGAGTATACTATTGAATGTTGAGAGCTCTTTATATATTCAAGATACAAGTCCTTTGTCAGAGATGTTATTTGAAAATATTTTTTCCCAGCATACCACTGTCTTTTCATCCTCTTAATAGGGTCTTTTACACAACAAATGGGTTTAAAACATTTTTTGGTGAGGTCCAATTTAGCCAATTTTCCTTTCACCCACTTGCTTTTCATTCAACAAATAATTACTGCATGTCTACGGTTTATCAAGATAATGTTCCAGGTGCCCATAGGAATCAAAGATGTGACATGGTCCCAACTTCAAGGCATTTCCAGTCTAGTTGGGGAGATTGGTGATACACCCAAATAACTAATATTACCTAACAAGTGTTACGTGGAATGGAAGAGGTAGAGATACATGTTTGTTTTTTGTTTTTTAAAGTCAGATATTATGTTTTGGCTGAGAGCAAAGTAGTGGGCAAAGGTTTCATCGCTTCTATGCCAGCAGATGCCACAAAATGGTATGGAAACTTCCTTTATAAACTCGTTTTCTCCCAGATTGAAACAATCGTTTTTAGATAGCTAACATATTAAATCTCATTATGTGCCAAGAATTTCACAAACATTGTATCAATAATAATCTTGCCGGGCAGTGGAGCGGATTATACCATATTTTAAATTTAGAGAATCTAGGATTCAGCAAAGTTAAGTAACTTGTCCAAGGTCACAAAGACAGGAAGCAGTAAGGTCATAGGAGCACCCTGGTCTTTTGTGATTAATGCTCTTTTAATTCTACCCAGAATCCTCCTGAGACATGTCCTTTTCCTGCCAGTATAAACTCATCAATCTCCTGGCTAAGAAATGGACTGTCTGATTTATGTTTTAAAAAGATGAGATACATATCCTTGGTGCACAAAAGTCAACGAGCTCTTCTTGATAAAGGAAGAATCCATTCAAACTTTTACAGTGGTCAAGATGATGCAAAAAAATGGAAAAACAAGCACTACCCGTGAGTCAGGAGAAGCAAAAGAAGGGATGGATATTGCTGGAATTCAGTAAAATTTTGCTGAATGACAGCCCAGGATGGAGTAATCAAGGGGGTAGCACTTTAGGTCACCTTCTAGCAGGCTGATTGTTACCCAAATCATCTTCGAATGCCAAACCTTTCACGGAATGTTTTAAAAAAAAAGTCAGTAATAGCTCAGGCAAAGGATGGAAGCTGTGCCTGCTTCTGACTCTATAAGACAACAAAAAGGGAACTGGGGCTCTTTCTTGTGCATAATGTCCCTGGATTTCCATCTGTACTTTCTTCCTGTCTTATTTGTAACCTTGCCCAAATCGCTGAACCCTTCTGCATTTTTCTTTTGAAATGTTTATAACTTAGGAAAGATGTTAGGATCTTGATTCTGAAAGAGGCTGTGAAGTGGCGAATTTATATATTAGGACAGTTTTGCAAACACTTGCATAATGTCAAATAACCTTCGAACCCAGTCCCCGTTCTTGCCAGGATGCAGCCACTACTCGGCAACCCCCAGGTGGAGAGTAAGTCACACCTTTACTCTGCTGGCCTGTGCCAAAAGTTAGACCTACCATTTTGCATAACAAAAGGCAAAAATGGGAACACTGGACAAATA